TTCCAATCAACTTCCGGCCACTTCTACCTTTTAATCAACGCTCTCCGATATCCACCAAAGGTTCTCCCTTTCCCTGCCTTTCTCCGCTTTATTTCTTGATTCTCTATTTATTTGTCATTATTTTATGGTTTTCTACGTACAAACTACGCGTCCACTGAAAGTTTGGAATCAGGGAAATGCTGTTTACTCACAGAGAATCAACTTTGATCGAGCATAGCCTACATAAGAGTGGGTTTATAAAATATTTAATACATGTTATGAAATATCTGTAGGTTAATTTAGATTTATTTAATTCATGGTATTATGTCTAGAACATTTTTAGCATGACAAGAGTCACTTATTTCTTTTAATATGATTGGTTAACTTATAATTAGAGATATTGGCAATGAATAATGAAATGTATAACTAAATTTTAAAGTTCAAAAAGGCCAATATATAATAAATTATTTTAATCCACTTAAATTAGAACATAGTGGATTAAAATAATTTATTATATATTGCCCTTTTTGAACTTTTAAATTTAGTTATACATTTCATTATGATTGGTTAATTTACTCCATATTACATTTACAAGAATTTCTTTTAGTTGGGGTAACATGTATTGGTAATTCTCGACACTAAGCTATTACATACCTCGGAGGTTGGAGATAATAATGGAATTTAATTCACGATAGTTGTTAATGCTCACAACAATATATCAACTTATGGATTTAAAAAAATATTTCAGTAGTAGGTTTGATAATTTTTGTGACATATCAAAATATTTCAATTTTTTTTTTACAGATCCTCCACAAATATTCATTTTCTTTTATTAAAAAATTTGTTAATTTTTATTTAAGCTAAACAACCCACCTCATGACGTTTCCTCACGTATGATTTTCTCATGGTAAAAATGAATATTTTTTATAACCACAAACGTAATTTAACAAAACTTAAAAACAGCTCATCTTGTGATATTTGATAATGTTTTATTTCATCGTGGTTAAATTAGACACTTGCGCAAAGTCACCTCTACTTAAATAAATTGTTCACTGTTTACTTCATTCATCTGGCACAATATATATCTCCATCGAAATATAGGGGGAGTTATTATACATCGATGTATATTTTGCAAATATTAGAACCGGAACGGTATATCATTAACAAATTGATTCACTGGCCCGAAAGTAAGCACGTGTTAAAATGATACTGTATGTTGCAGCCATTAGTATAGGCATTTGGGCCAGTGACGAAATTTATGCTTATAAGCTGTAGGCTACCGTTTCTGTTCTAATATTCGTGATATGTCTTACTGCTCACCATTTGACGGCGTGTTTTCCCGCCAGTTTGACGGACTAGCTGGCCACTGGTCAGTTTGACCTGAGTGTATAGTCATGTCCCCGTCCCCCCGGGGCTACTTGCAGTTTTACACCAGGCCTTTGACAGCTCAGCACACCCCCCCCCCCCTCCCACCCACGTGCAGTCCACCCTCCGGGTTTTATTTACCTTTTACGTACGCCTTACATAATGACGCCCTTTAAACATTAAAGGGACCCAGATCGATTCTTATCGTGGTTTGAAAAATCGAGTTAAAAGTCAGTTTTGTTTTAAAATATAATTTGGGATGTTAAGTGTCATTTGATGAGGGTTACAATATTTTCAGTTTTTTTTTTTATAAAAATTTTTACAATATTATAAATGTTTGTGAACCTGTTTTAAATTACCTATTGAAGGTTGTACAATATAGTAGACACGCCTTCAATTTTGACCCGTTTTGGACGATGTTTTTAATTAAAGGGAATACAGAATATTATGTAAAATAGCCCTCAAAGGGTGGTTCACTATTTAAGTTTCATTTTTATTTTAGTTTTCATACCATAGTCTAAAAATTAAATTGAAATCTTGCTTTAAGCAGCACAAAATGCTGTTACTGTAATTAGATTTACCAAACGCAAAACAGTGTAAAACTTAAACAGGGGGATAACATCTTGACTTCATCGTGGTGAATCTAAAAATCTAAGCTCTTAAAAGGCTGTTCAAATTACGTTGTATGGCTTTATTACAAGAAATTTGATATATTAATGGGATATATCATTGCTAGTTAAAAAAAAATAAAGGCAATAGATTACCATGTGTATATCATACAAAAATGTGCCAAACCTTGTAATTATTGATGCGAACTAAATACTATTAACAAAACTAATATAACAAATTGTTGTGAAAGCAGTAAGTTCTTGCGTTTACCATAATAGTTTAACATGTGCACAGTACCAGCACTTCAGCCGGTAGCCATGCTGTCAATCTACAGTAGCAGGTAGTTAGTATTCTCTTGTAGCGCCTCCATGATACTTGTGTATGTGTTTGTAGGATGTATGTGTGTGTGTTGGCACGGTTACCTCTTACGTCATACATCCTCTAGACTTTCGGTCATCAATCCATGCTAATCGTCTGGTCATCCTGTTTGTCAAATACATGACTTGGCTTGCTATATTCTCCCCGCGAAATAAAACGAGTAATATAAAAATAATAAACTTAATATACTTAAAATAATAAAAGAAAACTTAAGTTGAATTAGCCTAACACAAATATTTTTGTTGAACAACTTCCAATGGTTTAGTTAAAAGTATCAATGGGCGATCTAATCCACTAAAAATTAAAATGTCAGTAATAAATATACTATATAATTTAAATTGTAGAATGCCATGTAACATTGTGTTTACCTTATAGATCAAAGAAATAACGTTGGCCAAACATTGTGTTAATTTACAAAGACCAGTAACGCCTTAGATAAGATATACTCCCTTGGGTTACTCAGTCTATGGTAAAGCTGCGCCTGTTGGAGCGCTCTTGTGTAAATATGATTATTATTTAGGAATGACAAACGTAATGATGGCATCAAACTTTCCTAAGTATATTTTAAAAGTATTATATATTTACATGTCAAGTAATAAAAACACCACTACTTTCGACACAATTTTAATCACTCAAATCCAACGCATTTTCTCCGCATGAATTTGACAAAATCTCCCAAAACGTGCAATTTCCACTGGTAAATCACAATAAACAATAAACAAGCGAGGGTTAATCGATTCCTGGGGTTAACGCAGCCAAACCCACACTTACCTCTCAATACATACAAAGTAGCGCTATCAGGGGGCGGACCCATAAACAGCTGATTCCATCATATGTTTCTGTTCCGTCGGCCGTTCCGCCGGACCTTTAATTTCTCCAGTGGACATTGCCGCCCTAATCATAGGTTCCACCCCCGTTATTCCCGCCACTTTTCACTTTTATACGTCTCTGGGGACTTTGCCAATCTCGCGCTGCCTTAGAGGGGTTTGGAGTGATTTCAATACAACGTAAACGGGATTTAGCCATGATTTGTAGTTTTGGACAGTGTTTTTTTGTTGCCGGTTTTTCTTATGTTTTCGAAATTGTGTTTTTACAGGTTGCTGTCAAATTAATGTGTTTAATATATTATTGTTGGTTTTCGTGACTTATAATTTAATTGATCATATTAATAATCATTATTAAACTCACCTTAGAATCCATAATTATTCAGCTAAGGATAATCATTCTTTGGACGATGAAATTATATTTTGCCTTTTAATGCCAGTATCTCAATTTTTTGTATGATTATTTTACTTTCTTCTTCTTAATATGCTCTTACTATGTGTATTTATGGATTAATTTAACCTATTTTAATAGTTTTTAACAGACATGAGTTATTCATTTGTGTTTTTCACCATTTTAAAATCGTTCTGTTGTCATATTTACCCATTAATGGTTATATTTGACTTATTCAAGTTCTCTAAACGTGAAGTCTTAAGTGTTGTTCGAAAGTCTGAGTGAAGCAGCAACGAGGACAAGAGTGCCTTATTTCAATTACAGTACCAGTGTGATATTTTGATAAAAATATTTAATTTGAACAAGACAACAAATGTATATGCTATGCTAGAGGTATTTATCAGCATATATATTTACAATATCCTTACTCATCCTGTTAAGTTGGATGGCATAGCTACTAACTGCAAGTACCTAACTGTAAACTTGACAGTGTTGCGATAGTTTAGCTAAACATCTAGAGGCCTACTTGTATAAATGGGCTATTTAATAAACAATCCACGTTATCGTATCGTATATTTGAAAGCTATTGTGACATCTTGATGTAATATCCAACCATAACACTCCACTAAGCCCAGCCTCTGGTCTATTAGCTTTTACTTCCTCCCCTCATATTTTCGCGTATAACTGCTTGATGGTGATTACACTTTCATCGTTAATCAAACAACTGTTTATCAAGCTAAGTTATCTAGATATAAATTAAGCCGCGTTCTGATAGTTTTTCGTATTCTTTCATGGGTGCTATTAGGTCATCTAAAATATAATTACTTATCAACTGCACCGTCGGCAGGTATGCAAAATGTGAGCACAAATCAACAACTCATTACTAATCGAATAATTGAATAGCTCATGGCACTCGTGTACTGTATTCTTTGCGCCATTAATCTTTTAATCAATCACTCGCATAACTATAATAAGTTACACATGATTTTTTGGTACTTGTTATCTGAAATAAAGTCCACCAACTTTGCCTGCTACTACTCTTCCGAAAATTTCACCGTCTTCATTATTCCACCAACTTAAACATGTATCTCCTAGTAGTATTCTTAAAAACTCTTTAAGCCTTATTTTAAATCTCCTAAATTACAATATTAAGGACAAATTATTTTTCATTTTACTTTTTAATAGTCTCTTATCCTGAATAAAAATCTTACTCTATTGTACTCTATGTCCGTAATAGTTCTTTCCTATTCCTGCTTCTCAGAACTACACTGCCTACCAGACTTCCCATTTGTTATTCGAATAGCCCTATACTTCATTTTTCTATGATACCTCAACTCATGATTCCAACAATGCTCACCTCTTTGCCTTTCATTTCCTCCTTCCTATTCCATATACCTGTTCTTCTTACTCATTAGACTTCCACTTCAGACTCTAACGTACAGTTCTCATTGCAGTATCTTGGAGTTGAGGAAGGAGAAGAGCAGAGACGCGGCTCGCTCCAGAAGAGGCAAGGAGAACTTTGAGTTCTACGAGCTGGCCAAGATGCTTCCCCTCCCCGCCGCCATCACCTCCCAGCTGGACAAGGCATCCATCATCAGGCTGACCATCAGCTACCTCAAACTGAGGGACTTCTCGGGGCACGGGGACCCGCCCTGGAGTAGGGACCATCCCTCCAGCAAGTCAGTCAAAGGTAAGATGTTTGTCAAGATTAGCAAGTGTTTGATTCCTTGTATAAGGTACCAAAACTATAAGCTATCGTGAGCTGAACTCTTCTTTTCGTCCTCCATGATTCCTTTTATGTTCTCCAACCATAGACTGCTAAAAACAACAGCAGTAAGAGAGCAGTAAAACAGGAAGCACGATTAGCTCCTTTTTAACACACTGTTCTTTCTTTTTAACAAGTTCCTACTTTAAAATAAGTTGTTTAGAGCTGAGCTGGAGGCCCTAGAACCAAACATTGTTCATTTCTCAGTTAGAGAACGTGTAACATAATGTATAGATAAAGAATACGAATTTAAATATTGTTTTTACAGGTACGGTAGTTAAATGAGTTTAGTATAAGCTAATTAAGTACAGAATAAATGATCGAGTTTGCTGTTATTGTCAAGACTCAAATGTCAAGAGTGATTCCACCAGAAAGAAAAAAAAATTGTTTTCTCGTTGAAGTGGTAGCTGTCTAAAGGAGGATTATTATGAAATGTGATAGCTGTATTCCATAATCTTGATGTTATAGAGTTTGCAATCTGCAGAAAAACTAAGAACAATATAAAGACTCAAAGCAATGTTGTTGGGTGGGGATGTTGTTTTAAATTTGCAAAGAAGGGATACTTTACAGTAGTACGAAGTCAAAACTTGTATTTTTCTCATAATCTAAATTGGTACAAATTTGCGTAAAGTTGATAGTACGAATAAAAAAATCACATCCGTCTTCACCCTTTACTAAAGGGCCTTTAGTAATCTGCTTATAATATTCAGTATATATAATCTTAGACTAAGGAACCAATTTGTGTTCTATTATCTGTGATATAATGTAATCTCAAAGCGACTGAGAAGAAACATGGTAGTCGCGCCTTCAAAGTTCTGCAGGCAATCTAGGTACTGCACTCATATTGCCAACCCTCCCGTTTACGGGCGCTTACTGACATTTTGCAGTGTAGGAATGTAAAATTCCCAAACGTTCTAGAATTTTATATCCTAGAAAATCAAACCAATGATTTCGATAATTTAATATTTTATATTATATTTAAGTCTTAAGATTGACCTTGACAAATATTTAAGGTCTTCACAGCTAAAATACAATTCAGATGTTCTATAATTAAAATAAACCCTCCAAAAATTTGTAACAACACAAGTTCTTATTTGCTTCAATATTTGAGTAAGGATTTTGTATTTTAAACGAGTTTTAATTGGATTTGAACATTTTTGTACGACTGTACACATTTTTCATGTTGGCAGCAGTATATATTTTCTCCAAGACACAATATTAGCCCGCCAATCGTCTGAGCGTAGCGTCTGTATCGTCTGAATGTGACAACCTTTAATTTGCTCCATGATGGATCCCTCCCTTGACTTGTGTCCTCGCAAATTGTCCCATATTGTATTACAGTTCCCCGAGGTTATGTCTTTATCGTCTCCGGTTATTGTTCACTTTACCCCCCCCCCCTCTCCATCAGCCCCCCTAAATAACGCCGCTGCCTCCCTCACATTTAGCGTTAGGGGGTTATGTCACGTATCTTGGCGTGTGGGTGTCATAGCTGTATTTTTGGGGGTGTAAATATTGTTAGTTTGAATATGATAGTTTTAGAATGGAAAGTTAAAAAACTAACAGTGAAGTACGGGAAACTTATAAAATTACTACTTTTTAACTAGGGAGAACTTAAGACGTTATTATCCCTTTTTGTTATTAATCTTTGAAAGTCTAACTGTAACAATCAGAAATTAATATGGAATTGGTGGCTACATGTTAAAATGATTCGATTTTGATTGCTCAGCACCATTTGATATAATAATAGTTGTTATTATCTATTAGCTACTCATTTTTTTTATGTGAACCAAATGTTCGAGTTGACAACCCCTAGACATAATTATTCAAGCTATCAAACTAATAATTACGAAACATTCTTAGCCCATGCTAATAAGCTTGTCAAAACAACGATTTTATGTATGAATGCATTATTATTATAGTTAGAATTTTAGGTATAAAACATAAGGACACTTATTTTTAGAAGCTTTTTTCAGTCATGTTTAAATCACATTTGGGTGTGCACAAGTGAGGCCTTACATATAACCAAGCTGGGAAAGTATCACAGTTTAATATTGTTTTACGATTGTTGGGTTTAGCTAACTTATTTAAATCTATGATACATACTTCCTAACACGAGGAAAGGATCAGATTTCAGATCCACGAAACGAAATAAACATGTTTTTACTGATGACGATGGAAAATGTCTGCAACACTTTATATAACAGATAATCACTATCGGCAAACAATTACTTCAAACAAATAACAATGTACCTGATCAATTACTGAAGATTACTTTAACCCTTTTGGGAGTCAATATATGTTTTACATCGCCCGAAGCAATAGTTTCTGTAAGATTTTGGTTATGTTCTTGCAAAAATCCTCAATTGCAATCTTTTTCAAACAAGAGTACACATTCCAATCTAACCTTTACGTCCCACCCATGGGAACATATACGATACAGTCACATTCCTCAAAACTGTCACCAAACTACAAATACAATATTTTTCTCTAGTTTTAATCACACCCACACAGACACATTACCCACGAGCCACGGCTGGGCGAGGGAGACACAGAAGCAGCGTTTCAGTTTACAATGAACACACTAATTGTATCAAGTGTGGGGATATTTTGTGGGTCGTCGCATTTGCATGGAGGGTTTACACAGGGTAATTCACTTGCTCGCCCTACATCGGTAATCAGTGCAACCCCTCTTTAGGCTTGTTACAATTTTCAGACGCTGATTTGATTTTGTTGTAGAATCAATTTGAACGCGTAATCAAACTATTCCGGGCCGTCGGATTTGCCTGAGGACTCGTTTGATTTGCAAAGTGAACTTTTGTTTATGTTGGATTACCCTTTGTGTTTGTATAGACAATGCTGGTGGATTTGTGGCAACTTTACGCTTATAAACATTCAAATTTGTAACCATTTTAATGATAGAAATTCTCTAAACCAACCTTTGGAAATAGGAAAATAGTTATGTGTGTATTTAACTAAATAAATTCTTGATCAGCATTGTACGTGTTGTTTATTTACAGCAGACACTTTTTTGTATATTTACCGTCTTGTGAGTAACAGTATAGGCGTAAATATTTGTTTTAAGTGTTATAAGTCGTCTCTTTTATTTACTTTCCGTGTATTTAACTCCCCAAATCAGTTCAAGACTAATTATTTTGACAAAAGTAATAAAGAACCATAGTCATTTATTATACAAAAAAGGGGGCAGTTTGAATATACTAAAAATAAAACTGAATTACAGTGTACTGCATTTCTTGAGCAATCATTGAAAGAGCCGATTTGCAAAATATGGAAACATTGGAAAGTCATAGATCACCACCAAGTAGAAGAAAAAAAATAATGATTTTTAAAATTTATAACCATTATTATGGTCAACCTAATCGGCTATGAGTGGGAAACATTTGTAGAAACACTAAAACCAAGATCAGCTTTTGAAAAATTGATATTTACAAGAAATGTAGATTATACCGAACTGTTATGCACATCGTGAGTATTTTCATAATCTTGAGTCAACTTTTTTTAAGGTCATCGGAAATCAAGATTGTTATTCATTTTAAAATAACGCCTGTAATACTTCGCAATTGCTCGAATTCGAGCAACAGGTACACTAGTAAATTTTATTGCAACACATTAGAAATTGTTGCTAGATTTTTAGGCAAAAAAATAAATAGGTATTTTGTAACCCTTCTATTCACCATTTTGTGACTAGACGTGATTTAAATGTTACAACCATTCAATAACTTTATTTAATGGGGTGATGAAAATTGTTACTATTTTGTTTAAATATCGCTACGAACAATCATTAAATTATTTCCACAAATAACTATAGTAGAAATCAGCCAGTAACTCAGACCACATAAATACAGCAATTTGATGTCATATTGTAAAATATGAAGCCCCATTGGATGTTTGAACTCAGGTAAATTAAGGTATTTCCACGTTAATTGTTTCTCTTTCCAGAATACATGTATACTGTAATCGGTAACTAGCATTTTAATAGTTTCCCAAGTGTACTTCAAAAAGTGTATTTCTCCTATATAAAGTTATATAACTGTTATAGCTGTTATAGCAGGTGGAAAACTAACGATTGGATAGTGAATTATTATTTAAAAAATCTTTAAACGAACATTTAATGACATTTGTCCCCAATTAACACATTTACTCTATCACACTGACCACAATGTCACAGAAGTGGTCACACACTAACCACACACTCAGTCCTTGTGACAGGACTCTGGACACAGGACACAATGGCAGCCAGAGGCAATCATTTGCCTATTTCACAGGTCGGATGATGGTTTCGGTCCAGCGGTCGCGTCAATCAAGACCAAACGTGCGGAACCTGGACTACTAGCTCGTGCTCTTAGGTCTGCTCTGGTGTGGGGATGTCAGAGAATGTGGATTAGGGAAGAGGATACAACTGTAGGCAATTATTATTTAGGCAAGGACCTGGGCTATTAGCTCGTGCTCTTAGGTCTGCTCTGGTGTTGGGATGTTAGGGGATAGGGATTAGGGAAGAGGATACAACTGTAGGCAATTATTATTTAGGCAAGCACCTGGGCTATTAGCTCGTGCTCTTAGGTCTGCACTGATGTTGGGATGTTAGAGGATAGGGATCAGGGAAGAGGATACAACTGTAGGCAATTATTATTTAGGCAAGCACCTGGGCTATTAGCTCGTGCTCTTAGGTCTGCTCTGGTGTTGGGACGTAAGGGGATAGGGATTAGGGAAGAGGATACAACTGTAGGCAATTATTATTTAGGCAAGCACCTGGGCTATTAGCTCGTGCTCTTAGGTCTGCTCTGGTGTTGGGATGTTAGGGGATAGGGATTAGGGAAGAGGATACAACTGTAGGCAATTATTATTTAGACAAGGAACTGGACTACTAGCTCGTGCCTAGGTCTGCTCTGGTGTAGGGATGTTAGAGG